ATACTTTTCTTATGAAACTCTTGCACACTAACATAAACAATCATGAAAAATCAAATTATAAATTGTATTTAACATTTCCCAAAACTCATTCTTATCTTTAAAAATTAAGGGTTATAGGCTAATGCTTGCAATTGGGTTTTAGGTTAGGTTAAGGGATAGCGTTACGGTTAAGTATAGCACTTTGTCAAGGGTTGAAGCTATTAAAGCATTAAAGGATATCGACCGCGGCGCAAATTCAACATAAAAACTGTGTTATCCGTTATCTTGATTGTTCTGATAAATCATGATATTACATTCAACGGGTGCACTTTAAACGAAAATAATAGATAACATTTATAGTACACAACATAAGAAAAATCATGTGTCCTATCAGGTTCTAGGACAATCACCCCCCCCCCCCCGCCAACTACCAGCGGGACAAGTACCCCAAGAAAATAACACCCCGAGAACAATTACCACCCCCCCCTCCGGGAGACAATTAACTCCCCCCCCCCCCCAAAAAAAAAAAAAAAAAAAAAAAAAAAACTATTTTATTAAAACCAACTTATATCAGGGTGGACTTCCCCTTTAATGAACAAGGGGTAATTTTCGGGGGCCGGGGCGTATTCAATTTTTTCGGGGGATAATTGTCCATACTGTCCTTAGGGGTAGTTCTCCTGGGGGTAATTTCCCGGGGATGATTGTCCAGGGGATAATTGTCCTGATACACATATGTATGCCATTGTTTTCCACAAGTTCTTTCGATACCAGATACTAAATCATTAAAGCAGAAGATGTATCATCCTTGTAAATGATTATTGAGTGCTGTCATAACTATGACAATAATATTTTGAATGTTTCTTTGTTAAGAAATGGAAACTGAAAACAACTGCGATCAATTGAATTGAACTTTTACTGGCTAAGGAGCGCAATGTATTTGTATGTTTATGGCTAAAAAGCCATATTTCGAAATACGACAAGAAATAGCTAAAAGTTTTTGACTAAAAGTTCATGCCACATATACGTATAGTCCCATATACCTAGTTCTGTGTGCAGTACACGTAACTTCCATTCAAGATTATTCGATTTTGTATCAATGTTAGGATTTTTAAAAGCTCACATTATACACCGGTTGTATTATATAACCAACCTCTCAACAAAAATAAAATGTCAAGAACGTAATTGCGTGACCAGAATTAAACTTTATCTTCACTGAATGGAACTGAAAATATGAATTTTCAATCTAGGGTTATGTAAATATAATAATGTGAGTCTCGTCAAAACAAGGTTTGAGATAATTTAACCGAAAGCTTTTTTTTTCAATATTGCGTCAATAAATCAATAAAGTACTTGTATCAGGACTTGTATATGACATTGGGGCTTTGTTTCTGCATATAAAATGAATACGTCTTGTCAAAACAAGGTTTTGAAATCATTGAACCAAAACCTTTTCAAACTTGCGTGTCAATAAAGTGCTTTTATAAGACATTATGGTATCGTTTCTGAATGGAAACTGAAAATGACTATTTTCATTTGAACAGAATGTTTACTGAGAGATGGGCTACATCGGAAATCGTCTTATGGTTGTTTTTAATAAATAAATTCATGTTTATAGGAAAATCCTAACTAACAAATCATAATGAAATCCTTATAATAAATTTTAATTATTATCCTTTTTGTAATCACATGAAATGCTTTTAATTCAAACTAGATTTTTTGTTACCATGACAAATAAACATTCTTCTAGCTTTTTAAAATACTATGAGTAATAACGTTTTTTTTTTTAATCTGCTTTTATTAAAACCATCTTATTTTCAGGGTGACTTTCTCTTTAATGAACAGGGGGTAATGTTGGGGGGGGGGGATTTTCCGGGGGTGGTTGTCCGCGAGGTTAATTTTCCGTGGTTATTATCCAGGGAGTAATTGTCCTGATACTGTCCTTTCAATGTTGAGGATTTGTAATCATCCATCCATCTATCATGTTTATCTTTGGTTTTGGCATCCTCAGTTTCTGTCACTCGTGTCAGCTTTGAAAAGTGTAAGTCATCTGATAAGAGGAAGGAGGACACTTTTTCCTTTTTTATAATTTTTTAGATTGAGTTGATTATCGACATTTCACGTTAAATTATATTAACTTACACTTTAATAGGAGTATCGGAGTAACTATATAAACGTTTTGTTAAGTCATTCTTAAGTCATTTAGTCTGAACAGTCTAAGTAACTAACATTTTTCAGCTGTATTATTCTTTAGAGTATAAGGCTAATTAGTCACGTACTTAAATAAGTTGTTCAATTTCGGGACGGGATTGAACTGTTGATTTGTTTTTCTTTCAAAAATATTGGCCCCAATTCAATTGCATTTTCCCATGTCCGTTGGACTTGAATAGCGCCACCTATAGCTACTCAGCGTCGCAGCCTCACAGCAGGGAATAGGGCAGCAAGAGATAGGTCACTCCTTGCTATATCGGGAACAGCTTTGTCTATAGAACCTTGTCCACACTAATGACTTATCAGACATGTGACAAATCATCTAATGATACTTCTCTTAGTCTATCTCCATAACTTACTCTCTTTGTCTGTCTTTCTTTCTCTCTCCCCTCTCTCCCTCAATATTTCTCTCTCTCTCTCTCCCTCTCTCCCCCTCCCTCTCTCTCTCTCTCTCCCTCTCCCCCTCTCTCTCTCTCTCTCTCTCTCTCTCCCTCCATCTCTCTTAGCCCTCAGTCTTTATCTATCCCTCCATCCCGGCCCCTCCACTCAGGTTTCAAAATGACCGCATGCGTGTTGCCAAAATGTCCTTTTCGTAACAAAAGAAAAAGGTCGAGCCGTATTGACTTTACACACCGGACTTTTGCTGAAAAGGGGGGGGTGCGGAAAAAGGCTCGTATACAAAAGAAAAAGGTCGAGCCGTATTGACTTTACACACCGGACTTTTGCTGAAAAGGGGGGGGGTCGGTTGGAACACGCATATGCGTACCCTAAATAACACTGAGTGGGGGGGCCGGGCCCTCCATCTCTCTTAGCCTCAGTCTTTATCTCTCCCTCCATCTCTCTTAGCCTCAGTCTTTATCTCTCCCTCCATCTCTCTTAGCCTCAGTCTTTATCTATCCCTCCATCTCTCTTAGCCTCAGTCTTTATCTCTCCCTCCATCTCTCTTAGCCTCAGTCTTTATCTATCCCTCCATCTCTCTTAGCCTCAGTCTTTATCTATCCCTCCATCTCTCTTAGCCTCAGTCTTTATCTCTCCCTCCATCTCTCTTAGCCTCAGTCTTTATCTATCCCTCCATCTCTCTTAGCCTCAGTCTTTATCTCTCCCTCCATCTCTCTTAGCCTCAGTCTTTATCTCTCCCTCCATCTCTCTTAGCCTCAGTCTTTATCTCTCCCTCCATCTCTCTTAGCCTCAGTCTTTATCTCTCCCTCCATCTCTCTTAGCCTCAGTCTTTATCTCTCCCTCCATCTCTCTTAGCCTCAGTCTTTATCTCTCCCTCCATCTCTCTTAGCCTCAGTCTTTATCTATCCCTTTCCGCTGTCTTTCCCTCTCCCCACTCACATGACTCATAAAACATTTCATCCAAAACACAAATAATTGAAAGGACATTTGATTATTAAAGATGTGGGTCCGTGACCCTGTTGAATATCATTATTACAAAAATACTATTCTGTAGCCTGCATTTTAGCAGTATCTAGGCTGGTGTCACACACTTATCTTACGTTATTAATTATTTTTAATTTCTATACCTGATGTTCGAGAAAGCTGACAAGCAGTTCACAAACAGGAGGTGCGACAGCCCATTCATGTCAGTAGTAGAACAGTGGTCTCGTAACCTAGAGGTCCCGGGTTCGTAACGAGTTCTGCTCTGTGTAGTAAGGCATTAATTTCCATCACTAAGTCCCTCAGAGAGGACTTAAATCCGTCGGTCCCCTGGTTGTTTACCAAGCATATATTACTTACCAGTCAGGTAAAACAATCAAATAAACCCCTTTCAAAGAGACGCAAGGTAATACATTTTATTTTCGTATATTTCTATTCATTTTATTTGTGCAAAAATGGCCATATTATAATTCAATATGATGTTCTTTATTTCAAGTATTTCATTTTCTCTGATCGAACTATGAGGGAGAAGGTATATTTTCAACAAGGCAACTATTAGTAGTGCGATTTCTCCACAATGTGCGCTTTTTCAACAAGAAAAAGAAGAATACAAAATGATTAGCAGTTTTAGATGTCACATCATATATATATACACAGTCTGAGCTAAATATTTTAAAGAGGTTTTACCATTACTGCTCATTCTCGACAATAAATTACTCTGATATTCCAAATGCTGTATATTTATACAAGAGAGTGTAGCTGAAAGACAGTGGCATTTATAATGACGGGGCAGATTTTTTTTTTTTTTTTTAATAATGCACTAAATTCAAACGTTACGGTCAGTCATAAACTTGCATAAATATCTTCTCTAAGTAATATTATACGATAAAAGATTAGTTTATTTATTATTAAAATTCCTTCGTCAGAAAAATGAAGATAATCATTTAAAATTATTTCAACTCAATATAGAATTTTAAAGAGATAGGCCTACTACAATTGCAAATAAGGAGCATAATGGCAAGTTCCTACAATCAATAATAAACCTTAAAAGTATATATATATTAAAATTTTTGTTTAATGTTTTCAGGACATTATTTCTGAAAACTCGAATGCTGAACAAGCGGCAATGATGGCACATAGCTCATGAAATACAGCTAAAAGCAATTGTTCCGCATTGTCACAAGATGGCGCTGTATAATAAATCGTATCACCGTCATACATTATTGTATATGGCACAGATGACTCAATGCGATGGTGAACTAGTCTTATACCACGGAGCTTTAAAGGCCCACTGCACTACTTATAGCTACTTGCTCCCTCTATATAGCAAACAATGCCTAATCGGTGACCATTGGTCCCCCATGATCCTCTTTGTCTTATGTTAAGTGAGAGCTGATTTGATGAGATAACCACCTGTTAATGACGTTGCAGGGTGGTCTAATCCCTCTTGTAAACTAGTACAGATGACCTTTAAACAATATTGTTAGAAAGGTAAGAATTAAATAGTTCCTGAAAATATACTGTGATTACAGAATATATCAAGACAATTATATTGAATCAGTACCTTTTACCAAAAAAAAAAAATCGACCAAAAATCATTTAAAATATACCTACGAGATATCCAAATTAGGAAAAAGTTTGTCGGCGTTATTGCCGGGTGTTTATTGTCCGGGGTTATTGTCCGAAGTATATTGTCCGGCGTAAATGTCGTAAGGATAAGTTCATTTTTAGTATCATTCGGGAGTTTATTGTCCGTGGGGTAGTTGTCAGAGTATGTAGTTCAAAATGTCCGGGCTGTCGTCCAAGTTGTTCAAGTAGTTGTCCGGGTCGTTGTTTAGAGGAAGTTTTCCGGGGTGTTGTTAGGGTTGCCAAGGTCGTGGATTTTCATTAAATACATAAGTATATTTTCTCTTGGAATATACCTCAAATGTGTTCGAAATAGAATACAATAAAAAAATAATTCACTGACGACTGAGTCAATAACGCAAATATTTCATTTCATTTACAATCTATACGCAGCGTTTGGTCGGAATATAGTTATCAAAATATTCACATTTATAAAATTCTACAATATATTTTTAAGTACAGCAGAACAATAACAAAAACAAAAACACTTGGTTGGGCATCCTCACTATCTCCAAAGAGTCACAAAAGATATAAACACCAGAAACGAAATGGAGAGTGAATATCTCCGCGAAGTTGCATAAACAAGCAATACAAACAATACTCACATCCTTAGGGCTTCAATGACCTTATTCTACCCATGTGATTCGCAAAACATAATGCAGATTAAATTATCTCTTTAATAAAACTTGAAATTCTTACATAACCCAAATTGTCTCAAATTGCCTAGTTTCTTCCCTTTGTGTCACATTATGAATAACCGTATACAAACTGCAGATTAAACTGCTTCTGCAAAGAATAATTAGTTTGAAATAAGATAAAGTATCCATATCCCACAGGGCTCATATTATCTAGTCGTACCCTTGCAATGTCAAGACTCAAGAGGCTTTTTTAAAAGGTGAGTAGCAGTCTTGCGTCATGTAGACGTTACTAAAACGTCGTTACGTGGTCGACGTTTTGCGTCGATTCACGAAGTTGTTCCTTCTCGTGTCACTGTCTGGGAGCGGCGTTACCGTGTCGACCGCGGCGTGAGTACCACTGCAGCTGTTCTTGCTGGACACCAGCGTATGGTTGAACCGCACCGAGGACGTGTGTCCGTCATTTGTGATGACTTTTGAGTTCATCGTCGACCGACGGTAGGTCGTGAGCGGGTGCATGACCGCGGACTTACCGCGGCGCTGGCAGAGACTGAACCGCGTGATGAATATGCCGTAGATGATAGGATCAAGACAGATGTTAGAGTAGCCTAGAGCCATCATAATGTGGATCATCCAGTCAGGGTTTGGGAGGCCAGCGCCCGTTTGCCACCTTATGTCGAAATGGTACCTAGTGGAACAAGTAAAACCATGTGTGGTTGTGGGTTAAATTACACTCTATCAGGTACTCTGTCATACAAGTTAAAATCATCATGCAACTCAAAAGATTAAACACAAATCCTGAACATGGTAATGTTTGTGTTTTCCAGTAGCTTTAATTGAGTTCCATTTTATATCTAGATGATAGCTTCTTTACTTATCCATTTCCCTTATATATAGTTTGAGAAACCTGTTCGCGAATATATATGAGAACTCATCAATCTCTTGTTCTAAATTTCACTGACTAACTATACCTATCCATTTTTTTTTATTAATTTTTTTATAATTGTTTTTAAAAAATATATATATATATATATATATATATATATTTTTTTTTTAGGGGGGGGGGGGGGTTATACATACGTCATACATACATACATACATACGTCATGAACAAAGCCCGTGCGACGTCACTTACCACGTGCTCAGTACATAATACGGACCCCAGCACATGATGAACGCTGTCACAATGGTTGCCGTGAGACGAAGAGCTTTCATCCGGGCTCTCGGTAGACTGCTCGAACATGACCGCCTGAGGACGCTACTCTCATTGTTGTTGATGGATTGACGAGCTAGGAAAAGTAGAAAGAGATAACAACAAGTTATATACATCGAAATGGAAAGAAATCAATCAAAGTTAATTTTTGAATAAAGACGAATATCCAGTAACATAATGCAGTACATTATTCAGTAAATCGTGTCCGGGAAAGCTTAATCATTTTGTATAGTACGCCAGTAGCTATGGGTCAAGGCATCGATATCCTTGCTACAAAAGTAATTTTGAAAGTGGTTTGTAACTTTGTAAGGGTGGCGACTGCAAGATGAAATGGATTTGATTCAGTGGACGTGATGGATCGTCAGTTATACTATTCCTTTCCGTAACTGATCTGTTGGATGGGTTTCTAATATACTTCTAAAGCCACATATCCGTCAACAAAATTAACTGAAGAACAGCAGGAGAAGTTAAGGTGATGACGATGATGATGATGATGATGATGATGGTAATAATTATATGATGAAACGGATGACGGGAATGATTTTCATGGTGGTGGTGGCGGTCGTAATTATGATGGTAATTATATTGATAATGGTTATAATGACGATGTTGCTAGTTAAAGATATACTTAAAGAAAAAGATGAGTTCTGGTCATGCGATTGCGTTATGAAAGAAACGGTGTGGAATCGACTAGAAAAGGTTGATCATCTACCATCTAAATATTCGTGTGTATTGCAAGGTTCTGTAATCATCACAGTGATTAGAAATTTGGCCAAGTTTTGGTAAAGTTACAACATAGGCGCCAGAAGTGGGGGGCAAAACGCATTTTTGCTTCCCCCCCCCCAAAAAAAAAAAGCAGTAAAGGAGTAAACATGGTTTGTATTTTAAACCCAAAAGAACATAACAATAACAAAAACCTGAATTAAATCACATATACAATTCCATTCAAAGAAAAGGAAAGTTCACAGGAATTAAATTGCATAAACATTGCGCATGCCACCTATACGGTATTTATCAATGGAGGTCTTTATAATAGCGATAAGCGCATATCGTGGACATATTGTGCGAGAATGGGAAAGGGTGTCTGTTTTTTGTTTGTTATAGGGGTGAGAAGACATGAGCCCCTGAACGCTGGCGTACTGATTGGGGGGGGGGGTGTATTTCTTATTCGATACCAGTGATTTACAAATGTTGCTGTTATGACATGATTTTCCGGTATTTTTTCTCCATTTTTTGGTAAGTCGTACCTTTTTATGCGTTTGTTGGAAAAAAAGATGTTTCCAAATTACAGTTGGGCGAAAAATACGCTTATTTAGAAGCATTTGTGTCATGGTCTGCAAAGCGGCTGGGCTCGAGCCCCCCCCCCCCCCTCACTTTTTGAAAAAGTATGTTAAAGAGAAAAAGAAAGAAAGACCTAGAGAAAAAAATAAGTGACCTGCCAATGTCACTAAAAAATGCTCATCTGACCGTAATTAAATGCCTAAAACCCCTGAGCTTCCGGGGGCTCTGCCCTCTGGACCCCACCAAGGGCCCTAAGGTGGCCCCTGGATGCTCATCCGACCGTAGTTAAATATGAAAACCTCTGAGCTTCTGGGGGCTCTCCCCCTCCCTGGAACACGTCAATGGCCTTAAAGAGGGCCCCTGGATGCTCATTTAACCGTAAGTAAATACCTAAAAAAAACCTTGAACCCCTGCCGAGGCTTATGCCCTGGACCCCACACCAATTACGCTCTACCTGATCGTTAATACTCCACTTTGAAAAACGTTCCGCGGGACCTGCATGTCACATGTAAGACTGGTGGTGATGCAGATTTTTCGTCTCCCCCCCCCCCCTTCCGAACGTTTTTTTCTCATTACGTCACTGCCCCTGGAAGGTGAGCCCCCTGGAATGTTTGCCCCCCCCCCCATCCCAAACTGCTGTACACCGAAGGATGTATATGGGACTACACGAACACGTGGCGTAGAAATCTATCCACATTTTTACGATGTTACATGCCATATTTAGGATATGAAGGCATTTGAAGAGCCATGCTTTTCAGGGAACATGTTTTATCTGATGTTCTTCCACCCTTGCATAATAACAATGATAACGCTCACAACTTATTTTTCACCTCTTCCCAGAACTCAACCTTCTCTTTAACATAGACAATACCTTGCTTAGTTTTCCTGCATATCTTATAGATGATGGCTGCGTAGCATGTGAATATAGTGATCAGAGGCACGACATACATGGCTAGGGTGACGAAAACGTGATAAAGCCTCCATAGTGTGGGATGCTCGAAAGCAAATCGGTAGTCGACGCACTGCGTGAAGTCCGGTGCTTCGTAAGGTGAGAGGACTTCGTGGACCAGGAACTAGGAAAGGTAAATGAAAGAAGAAAAAATGATTACATGATAGAGGTGTTGTGGTCTAGCGGATATGTCACCGGATTGTGGATCACATGGTTCGCGGTTCGAGTCCCACTGCGGCACTAATGTCCTTTGGTAGGACATTAATCGTCATTTGCTTCGAAACCAGGATAAAAATGGATAACCGGTAGGATGCAGACGTTGGTGTGGTTGAATTGGTTTGTGTGCGCTTGTAAAATGGCACCCGGCCAAAAAAAAAATCCCCAGGGAGCGAAGAGTGTGCAGTATCATGTGCGGATTAGCATTTGAAACCAGTGACGGGGGTTATATTAATTACCAAGTAAAGTGCATATAAACGTATTACTAAAAACTAGACAAATGTGGCTATTATTATTATTTTTATCATTATTATCATTATTTTCATTATTACAATCCTTCTTGAATTGCCCATGAGGGGATTTTTTATTTCATTCAGAGAAAGGATGAACACGAAAGATATGTTTCATAATCCATTGATACCGGATCAAGTTTAATACCTTCATGGAGGGGTCGTATTCGTTGGTTCTGCCCTAAATATAGTCCAAGACATGAATAATGCTTGTCAGTGATACACAACCATGGAACAATTAAATACAGGGACAATGAAAGACAAGGTCAGACAATGTAATCATGATTATGATTTTGAAGCGTTTTCGTTTAGATACCAAAAGATAATAACGCACGGTTAAAATGGACCAGTAGAAATTGTATATCTATATCATAAGAATACAAAGCATCTGCCCGCACCCCCAATTACAAGAGATGTTCAAATGGTTGATTAAAAAACATAGAAATTACTAGAAAATTATTTCATATCGAAACACGCCCGGAAGCTCAGTTCCCATATACGTGCGTGTATATATAGCATCGACTACTGCTTAATCACATAATGTTGGTTTACCCTTAAATAAAATGTCAGATTGGTATTAAAATTTCTAATAATTCTTTACCCAAATGATATTAGACTTTTTCGAGATATTGTGCTTAGGATACGCCATTGTGGAACCCAAAACTTACAGAGAAAATATTGTCAGTGATCGTTGACCTTTAAGTTTACAGTGTAAATAATAACCCAAGTCAGGAGAACTTACATCAATACTGTTTGATAATTATCAATCAGAAAATGTGCTGGCCCGTATGAAATTGCACCCATGGGGGGATGGAAACAGTTAGGACGGATCTATTTCGCATATGCTGAAACTCGATCAATTCCGAATCCCACTCAAAATAGTTCGTGGTCTCTCGTCTCGAATATCTATGATTGAAAGGCGATCGATTTATGTTCCACTGAGGATATAAGTGAAAGTGAAATTCGTATCATCTTATTATTCTGAAAACGCAAAACTAAATCTACCTCCCCATCCACAAATGAAGTGTACGTGGGTAATACGAAATGAATATAAGTCAGTTCCATAGAGAAATTCAAGATGATATTTATAATGCTCTTTAATGACCTGATTTCGTGAAAATCGGGTTTCATGGGGCATCTATGTCCGGGGAAGGGGGTACTTAGCTTTGGTTAGGACGTGAGTGTGCGCTCAAGCCTCGAAACTCCATTTGTCACAATTTTCCAAAAAATGGGGCCCATGTATTGTTTAGGGATTATTTTGTGTGACAAAGCGACCCATTAGAGTGGCACATCCTCGTTTGTCTTAATTTGTGAGCACCCCCCCCCCCCCTGGATCTATATAGTCTACGATAAAACTATTTTTCCAAGAAGCTGTAAATGATGACAATATTTGCCCAGGGAGACCTCATCAGCTTAAATGTTGTTTTTCTGGCTCTGCAGTAATTATCACCCCAGTAATTGTCAGTTACCCATTTACACCTGTGTGGAGAGTGGCATAATTAAGCGGATTAAAGTCTTGCCAAAGGACGTTAGTGCCGGGCTGAGATTCGAACCCTCAACCCACGCATTGAGAGTCAAGTGAATTCGGACTCGAATCATCGGCGAATGCCAGGTACCCATTAAAATCTGGGTGAAGAGTAGCAAATGTGGAATAATGTTTTGCCAAATGACTATGTAACTGGGCTGAGATTCGAACTCTCACCCTTAGATTGCGAGTCGAGTGAATGGACCACGATACCCCGACACCTCTACTCTGCTGTAGAAGGACAACGTGTTTTCGGCCATTTCGTCCGACCGGACAAGTACGTTTTCTAAAAGACGCTTTATAAGGTTTTTAAAAGGGTCCTGATAACATGACGTTGACTTGCATCAACCAATAGGGACTTTTAGATTTGCACAACGGCACCGTGGATTGCTACGATCGACGTCCTTTTAATGCACTGCCTTGAATGGACGTCACACGTATCAGTCCACGCAAATCTAAAAGTCCCTAATGGTATAAAACATATTAACCCATGCCCTACATTCGTGAACAAAACAAGGTAATACAAGTATCAAAATATCTTACGGGGAAACATTCAGAGAAATCACTCAAATTAAATCACGTTCTTCATGTATCTATTTCTAAGCCCAATGCTCTCCGAGTCATATTAATGTCTCCTCTAAGTATTACTTGAAGGGCAATCCAGCCTTCGTAATAAGGTCATTTGTATGAGAGCAGAAGAACTGAGATAAACAGAATGGCGACAGTTTGAAATAAATCGGACGAATACTAAGAAACTTATGAATATTTAAAATATTTGTTTCTCAATTTTTTGTCCGATTTCCTTTCAACTTTCACCAGTCTACTTTTTATGTCCTGCTTTCCTCTAGAGTAGTTTGCTGTCATGGTTGGATTTCCCTTCAACCCGGCACTGTCGATATAATAATCCCAAATAATTATACTGCAGTCACACCGAGTAGACTGGGAACAGACAGACAACAACACGATAAAAAAAATCATCAAATCTCGCTAAAGATCGGGTGACATCCAAATATAAGTTGATCCAGTTGATGTGCAGGGCTGCATACAACTCATATTTTGTTATTAAAACATCTAAATATAGAAAGAAAATGCTCCATATCGCATTCATCTTGTGACATCATCTATCAATCATTAGTGAGCTAACAAGAGACAGTGATATGTTACTTTACCAGAGGTGACCACCTGTTTACAATAGACCATACAATACCAACATAGGAGTTGTTATGTCAGACCAGGGAGGTGTCAGACGTGCTGTAGCATCAGTAGGAAAAGCAAGGTAATGTGGATGTATTGTATCATGGACCTATTACGGATGGACATTCGACGTGATTCTTTCTTTGATCCAATGAGAGTCACCGCCTTCTGATTATGTGCAGAACATTCAGCTGTTTTAACAATAATTAACAATAACGACTGCGTATTGTGACATCCTTTTAAGGCAATTTGACATCCTTGTATGGCACTGACAGTGCCGGCAGTGCCTTACAAGGATGCCACACGCAGCAGTCCACTATGCCGGCGTGCAAATCTAAAAGTCCCTATTGTTTTTCCGATTGTGTTGGTTCCCCATGCCCTCTTCTTAATGTGGACATTCATGTCTTCAAGGGGGAACAACATTTTAGAATAAATTATGCAGACGTACATATTTGTAAATACATCCCTTCAATCTCGATGCGTACTTCTCTCTTAGAATTAAGAACATCTTTATAATCATTGCCTGATGTGTATTTTTACAGAAGTGGGGGGGGGGGGGAGAGAGAGAGAGAGAGAGAGAGAGGGGGGGGGGTGAGAGAGGAAGAGGGAGAGAATAAGATCGTCAGAAGACTGCTGTTAATCCTGAGGTTCATAAATACATTTATACCGGACAATTGCTTTATAGTGACAGGCCTGGAGGCAACACGTGTTGTATATCTTCATTTCTCAAGAGAGTATAGTATCTAGGTTGAAGAGAAAGAAAAAAAAACTATAAGATGAAGATCTCGGTAGAAATATTTAACTGGGGCACTTAAAACCAAAATGTGTTTACATGTCTGACATGTTCCCGGTACATGTCTTCGTTTAATTGCCCACCTTGATCTATTTTTGCGTTTTTAATAAACTATACAACATCTTTAGCAGCTCTTGTGGAAATGAATACAATGCGAAAGTAAATGAGAGAATATTGGATGCGTAGCCTAAATCAACGTCCACAGTGTTTTTCTCCCGTTTTGGAAATGTTTGCCAAGGTTGAAAGAAAATGTCCCCACCGGGAATATATATTTGTTTTTCTTTGTTTTTGTTTTATTTTGTTTTTGTTTTATTTTGTTTTGTGTAAATAGGAGCCTTGAAGCCCAAAGTAGGTTCCTCATCATCCGGTCGACAAGTCCGCTATTATTACTCTGATCGTGCGGATACGCTTGTCTCCCACTAGGCTGAGCTGTCAACACTTGAATCGTGATTTGTATATGGTAACAGTTCTTATTTCTCACTTAGGGCTTGTCTAAGTTCAAATATATCTGATCATATTCATATAATTGATAGCTTCAGGCATTTGAGATGGATTAATAAATTATTTTTAGGAGATATGGAAAAGGAAAGGAATGCAATTGAGTGACTAATGACTGCTCGGTGTTAAGTGGTCAAGCTTAGGTACTACATGTTGAATGCTTAATGACTGTAAACGCTACTGGCAAAATAAAATTTATAGTCTTCTATTCCTGTTTGTTTGTATCAGTTCTCGTTAATATTTCATTCGGTTTTTTCCATGAAAAATAGCTGGCAGGAGATTCGGAATCGGTTGTGGGCTGACTTTTCTGAATCTTAGAATATGAAGGGGAAATTCGAGATTTCCCTTCTACCAAAAGAGTTTGTATAATAAACCAAAAGAGAAAAATCAATATAGATGCAGAGATTTTGAAAATCAGGATTTAAACAATCGACCAATGCATTTGCATTGCTTAAGTTTCTATAACTTTACTGTATCTACAAATACTAGAACCTCATTTTTGTGACAATGCAGTTAAATGAATAATACAATTATTGAAATTGTATGTTCAAACTAAATGTACAGAGTATGTTTTTTTTTTTTTTTTTTTTAATCGAAACTATTTTATGCTCTTAGAAGACTAGTCTCTTGTTTATTTCATCCTTCATTGGCTAGCGGTACGACAGCCCTATTGTGTGAAGTTATACATATCGAACAAAACAAAATTAAGGAAAAAATTGTGTACTTGTTTTTTAGAGTAGTTGTCGCTTTTAATACGTGGTAGTGTAGAGAACTCGTCCTAAAGTAATACAAATTTAGTTGATGATCTTGTGAGTGTCTTAAGGGATCCGGTAACTTTGTCTCAGATTCTGAAACAAAATCCTGGATTTAGCTCATGCTGCAATCATAATTATAAACCTTTAGGTCAGCCTCAGGAACCCATGACTTTTACAAGCCAATCGCCTCTCTGATTATCAAGAAATTTATGATTGGAATTACACATTTTGAAAACCGTTAGCCAAACGGTTTTCATAACACTATAGTCGATTTGGGAAAATTAGTATAGTAAAACCGGTCACTTAAAGATGTTTACTCTTTTGAGGCACTTCTTGACCATTTTAAAGCGCAATTTGTTTTGGGGGCTTTAATATTACACCATTATGACAGACACTGAGAACACGTAGAGCCATGCATCCCAGATTTAACATTGTTAAACGATGCCTTTAAGAGTAACGTACCTGTGGTACACTGCAGAGGGCACTACATGTCCAGGCGGCTCGAACCATGATCTTACATCGTCTGTCTGCTTGGTGAATACTGAGAGGATGCACAATGGCAGCGTAGCGATCGAGACTGATGACGATGAGGATAAACGACGACCCATACATATTAAACGATTCGATGAACATGATGATTTTACACATCGCATTCCCGGCCAGCCAGCGCACCGTGTAGAACCATACCACATCGGTTGGAATGTTGATAAGGGCGACGAAGAGGTCGGCGAGTGTCAGGTGCATGACAAGGATGTTGACCCGCGACTTGTGACGACGTCGTCGAAACACGATGATGAGGACGATGATGTTGAGAGGTACGGAGATGAGGAAAATTGCGGAGAGGGTCAGGATGCGAAAGAGAGATTCGGCGAAGATCTCTGCCGACCCTGAATCCATGTATGTGTAGTTCGTAGTGACGTTGGCGTAGTCGCTGCCGACGTCGGGAATGTAGAACGACGACATGATGGTGGCACTTTTAGGTGATTTCAGAGTTCTGGCGAGGTCGAGCATGCTCTTCAAGACCAATGGCACGGGGAGTCTCTAAGCTTTAATCACGGTTCTTCTCAGGTTTATCCACAATGCTCACAAGCGACCAACGTGGTTGAAGTGTCGAGTATTGCAGCTCAGCCTTGAAAAGAAACAGTCCTCCATTTCCTCAAGAAAGTGAAGTCCACTCAGAAGAGAACTCATACGTCATCTATAAATATATAAAATAAAAGAAGAAACCAGATATTTTCATTTCAGAATGACAACGGGTTTGACTAAAACATTTCGTAACAATTTGAAATCAGATATCATAACAAAGAACATAAATAATGTGGTGAAGTTGATTTCTTCGATTTCTTATCAAAAAACCGCACAATTACAGATTTTGTGTGTTATTGTTTGTGCTGTATTTAAAAAGAATAAAAGACATTAGAATACAGGGAGGACAAAATGAATTGACAATTTCATGTCGACAGGCGCCTTATGTTGACGCCACTCAAAACTGTGTCGTTTGTATAGCCATGTTTTTATCCGGAGATTATCTCCTGTGGCTATAAGCACGGGTCCGGCTGAGATCTCAAAGCTAGACCATGGATAGACGATGATTGAAGACGTCACACGTAACAGACGTAAATGATGATGATTCTAGATGATCATTGCTGTTTTTCTGAAGTGATTAGCGTATGTTTCCATGGAGACAATGATAGCCAGTGATATGAATTTTATGTAAAACTAACCCCTCGTGTGCAGTAGGCATTATTACAAAAGAACATCGTCTACCTAGAGCCAGAAGGGTGTTAAATATTCAAGTAAAAGTATATGAATTAGCGCACTGCTGGCTCCAAACAGGCGACATGTAATTTAACGGTTAAAACTTCACTTCATCAACACCCATACTAAGAATAATTAAATTCAAATAACCTCTACTTCTCATCCCGCACTAAGCGCAAGCCGGCGTTATTTCAGAAAGGTTTTATTTCCATGAATCAAGGTTTTCAAAAATTGAAAGATGTTGGTAAGGAGTTTCTTTGATACCCCCCCCCCCCCCCCTCCTCCCCTCCGTCATGCATAATTCAATAATCATGTTTTTGGTGTTATAAAAGAAGAAACATAACTTGAAAATTGATTTGGAATTCACCGATAAACTTCGATTTTATCTTTTTTTTCATGGACACGTACCTCTTCATTACCATTTGTAAAAAACGATATAATCCCATTTGAAATGCTGGAATCAGTGAATAAGATAAAAAGCTTTGTGCACAATGTATTTACATGTATTCATGAAATGGATGAATAACAGTCCCTCTAATTCTACGTTCATGCGGTTTGGGCTTTCGTTCGACTAGGATTTGGAAGACACGAAAACAGGATTTATTTTATTCCCTATCGAGTAACTTAGTAGGGACGCCTTTAGCTCTACAACATTGTGTCCATACGGGTAAATTTCTCAATACTGACCACGCAGATCATCACACCGTATTTTAAGTCTTTCAAAACTTCATATGATAATTGAGTTGTTATGAGAGGAAAAGTTTCTCGCTCTTATCAAAAGCAGGTTAAAAATATATGGCATTATCGAGGTAGTTGTTTCAATACAGGCGAAGGGGAGAAATTCCACTTCAATGGGCCTTTAATTTTCTAAAGAATGAATGCTAATGAATAAGTCCAAAACTATTTAGTGACGCAATGTTACGGACCCCTTTTAAAATTACTTTTCTATGTAGTCACAGTAAGATGCTATCTATACGTTTATACGCTACGACGGTAGGAATGAAATTTGTATTATTTATATCGAATGCGAACATTGATTTCTCCTCATATTGTCACGCAAACTTTTTTTCATCTTCTTTTATGAATGCCAAAATATAAAGGAAAATTATACAACTACAAAACCGCCAAATAAATGTTTGTGTTTCAGGCAAGTAATACTTGTTTTTCTTAATACGATTGCATCACGTCATCAATCGTGTCCCTCTTACTTATACACCATTGTGTTCTTCAAACGTCGTTCCTTGAGGGCTCTGATCAACAACAATGTTTCATTCTAAGCATCAAACATTTAGACAAGAAGATTGGTTACAAAGAAATGTTATTTTGAACGAAACTGAATTCTAAACGCCTAACATTTGTATTTTGTTGTACGAGAGCGCTTTTCCATCTCCGCCGTTGTTTTGACTATAGGAGGTGTTTGCGCACCCTACAGAGATTGACCCCTCGGATAGATGATGCGGATAAGATGTCGGTGTGACGAGGATTCGAAAACGAGATGGAGAGCTCTAGAAAATGCCATTGTCCAGTCTATTCTCAGAGGAAAAGATCTGTTTTGATCTAAAGCCTTCCAAGACCGTCAAAGCTTCAAGAATTTCCTCAAATTTTACAATCACTTCTGGTGGTGCTCGGACCGGATCGAGTCGAGAAAATTCGAAAATATCTAACGATTGCTACTCAGAATGCTAGAAGTGTTATTTGGGTTTGTGGTGTAGAATGTATTTACATGTTCATCAAACGTTCTGAGATGTAACGATAGCTAGAATTAGGCCGCGAGTCATGTATTTGTGTCAGCGACTGAAAACAATCAATGGTGCGAAACACTTTCATCTAGAATCGCCACCCTGCGTAATTCTTTAATAGACTGTTTTATCTTTTCATCAGGTTTATCCATTCAAACTCACGATAAAGCATCTTTTTGGTTAAAATCCATTTATGTCATAGAGGCATGATTTTCCATAAAACATCGATCGGATTGGGTTTTTTTTTTAGCAAATGAGTGTTTTAGTTGCTGACATAAACATATTTTTTGGATAAATGGTCCGCATCTTAAACGGTAAACTACACTACAACTATCTGATTAAAGTTTATAAATGACTAATTGTTTTTCTCCGTATGTCAGTAGTTCCATGTCGTATGAACTATATTCCAAAAAAAGAGATTTTGCAAATTTAGATACACTATCATTTAACATAAAAATGACTTGTGAGTAGACGACTCGGCGCACACGTATTTTGCGAGTACAGCATACACGTACGTCACACGTATACTCGTAAACACGCCTTGGTACTATACTATCCCCTTGCTCTTCAACGACAACGCTTTACCCTTTTTTTTAATTTTTTTAATTGTTGCTGCATTCTTTTCATATCTTCTACTGATACACAAATTAGTGTGTGTGTGTTTTCTCAGTGACGGATCTGGAACGGGGGAGGGGGGGGGGGGTTGTAAAAAAACTTCATGTCATGGCGGGGAAAATGTTGTTGTTCCACTATAATGTATTCAGTCTATGCTATAATAAGACATCATTCCTTTATACCGATGCTCCAACCTCCAACCATGTACTTGACTTTATTCTGGTTTAGGAGTGTTCGATTTCTTCGAGGTTCACCTAGGTCACTCACTTTACTTAACAGGCTCAAGTTACGCGAAGAATGCTAATAGGGTTTGTAAAAATAACTCCTTTCCTAAACGGGAATAAAGCCTATTTTTCTAAGACAAGAATAAACCATAGGTGACTTAGCAAACCGCTTATTTACTTAAAGCCAAAAGGCTGTGGATAAAATGATAATGAATAATAACAATAATACTAGCTACATCGTATATAATTACAATAATTGGCTTTTATATAGCGCTTATTACATCAATGGTGTGTCTAAGCGCTTTACAGATCTATTATTACACCGCTCATCGGATTCGGGCTTTCCCTGGGGAGCATTCAAGCCAGGCGTCATTTTTACAAGCGCACATCTTGCTCATCTAACCACATGAACTTTCGCATCCTACCGGGTACCCATTTAATGACCTGGATGGAGAGTGGCAAATGACCCTGGCTTCAGCCATGGGCCTCAGCCCATTGACCTTAGGGGCTATAACCTCTACAATGTACATAGAATGTTACCGTTGGAACTCAAAGTATCGATGTTAGAAATCGGAATATTGGGATTCAAATATTCGATTGTGTATCCCTTCTTCTTATCGTTTTATGCTATCCTTTGCTTTTGTAACACTTGCCATAACTTGAAATACAAGAATTTTGAATAGAGGAGGTCTTGAAGTTGCCTATCACCCAAACGATGTGGAGGAGCTCAACATTTCTCTTCTCAGTAGTAGAATAAGTAGTAGTAGAAGTATAAGTAGTAGTAGTAGTAGTAGTAGTAAACCTAGTAGTAGTAGTAGTAGTAGTAGTAGTAGTAGTAGTAGTAGTAGACCTAGTAGTTGTAGTAGTAGTAGTATCGTTATCATTATCCCGTGATTAATTTTCTCATTTGAAGAATCAGACAAAGCATGACAAAATACAAAATGGATAATTGCGCTCCCCGAATGTGAGATGATAGTTAATAATAGCATGTTCTGCAGCCCCCTAGCCAAACAAAAATTTGCATCGAATTCCGGACATGTCTTCGTTGGAAAGTGGCTATAACGCCTATAGGCTACGGACACAAAAGCAGGTGCATGGATAATCCAAAGTTCAGGACTCAAACGTCAATAATCGCTGATGTATGTATAATCAGTTGATACCTACATGTATTCATAGTCCATTTGTCATCATTTTCCAATTTAGCTGACATCAATTCATACTTATACCCCTTTGTCCAATCATTAAGTGCATTAAAGCTATGGTCACAAATCAGAGCAGCGACCGACCGATCAGAAGCCTGCTCGGTCGCTGCTGGAATTAAGCATCGCCCAGCAATTAGGTCAGTGCCCGGGCGGCGACCGCCCAGGCACCGAGCGTATTTTGGGCGGAGAGTGAAAAATGAGCAGGCGCCGCCCAAATTTTAACTCCGCGCTAAAACTTCAGCGGCGACCGAGCGATGCCCTAAAAACGAGCGGCGCCTGGGCGGCCGCCGCTCGGTGGCCGGGCAGCCGCCGGGCAGAATTGGTTAGAAAACTCGCCGCTCGGCCGCCGAGCAGGCTACTTTGGGGTAATGTGACCATAGCATTAGTGTACACGAGGAATAAGTAAAGAGATATCACAACTTTGACTATTTTCGTGACCAAGGTGTTAGGTGATAAATCATTTAAATAGCCTCAAAATGCGTGAACAATGAACAAATAGATACAAATTAAATGTATGAAAAAATTCTTCACTTGGGTGTGGGGGGGGGGTGATAAAACATGTTACAAGTAAAAACAGGGAAGTGTGCCAAAACTCTCTGTCTCTCTCTGTCTCTCTCTCTCTCTCTCTCTCTTTCTGTATCTCTAAACGACGCGA